TGTTAATAATAATAATAACATACATGATTTCATAGGGAATAATATTAAAAAGCATCGTTCGATTGAATCTATGGAATTTAGTAGTTAGGCGTCTAGTAAAAATATCTTTTTAATTTATTGGTTTCCTTTTTTTTTTTTGAACAAGTTACTAAATGAGAAAACTGATTGTTCTGAACTTTTATATTTGATATCCTTTGAGATGCTTTTCACTGATTTCAGAAATTACACAGATTTTACAGTTAACTCAAATGTACAGAAATACTGCTATTATTAGCTGATAAACCGTATGATACTTTATTATTATGTACTTTATAATTTTATATACGTACAATTTATCATCACAAAACTGTGACTCAACCATATGTACCCAATATGCCCCAAACGAACTGTACTGGCATTTTCCTATGGGAACTACCTATTTAATTACAAAATGGTTTCAAACACACATATATGACAAAGAATTGTATCACAACATGCATAGATCAACATAAAATTGTTGTTATAATTTTATAAAACATTTTTACCAAAAAACCAAATAAATATTCCTTATAAATTTCAACTGGATCCGACTATTTTTCTCGAAATTATAGCCAGTAAAAGTTCTAACTTAAAAACTCGAATGGTCTTAGCTGTGAAGAAGTAAACTGTTTCAACTATTCAAAACTATAACTAAACAACTATAACAAAAATTTGAACTAGACGTTTACTTCTTACACTTAAAAATCGAGAAAAATGTCTAAAAATGTTAAATATTTTTCTACTTAAAAAATACGGCTCTCTATAACTTTAAAAAGAAAAATTTAATTTTACTCAAAGTTTGTATAGATTTTTTTTTAACATAATACTACCATTAAACGTTGACAGCCCAAGCAAATATTATAAACTCTCTTCCCTAAAAGGGGTGAACACTTTTTCTTTATTATGCTTTTTTATGTTAAGAAAATAGGATTGTTATACAATTTACGTAAAATCAAAATAAAAGTAGCATTAATTTATAATTGTAAGTGTGTACATAAGGACAATTTAATAGAACAATGTTGTATCTTAATATAGAAAAATAGTTATTCTTTATAACTATTAAAATATACGGTAATGCTAAAAAATAGTTCAAACATTAGAATAGATCCTTACACAAATAGCAAACAAAATACCCTGAAAAATACACTTGCTTCTAACAATAATAAGTTTTTAATACTCGTAAACAATTTTTTAACAGCTATAATTCTAAGTTTCATAAAAAAAAATATTAACGAAGAAAACAACACCTGAATATTTTACTCAAAAACGTAAATACTTTCTAAACTAATCGTTTAGTAGAAGGCAATGTTATTTTTAAAATAGAACTTAACGTTCATGTATTAAAAACACTAGCGCCGAATAAATATTTCCCAAGCAAAAAAACAATTTTGGTTAGCGTTTTAAAAAACATTGTCCAATATTCCAAATATTTCTAATATTATCAGTACCAAGTCAATATGTTAGATATATTATTATACAGAGCTTTAAATCAGAAAATTATTGATGAATACGTTTCTATAAAGAAATCCGTTCAAATAACAAAATATATTGGGCACAAGATTTACCGTGTGGTCGCTATAAAAATAAGTAAACTAGTAACTCTTCCAAAAATACCAAGTTGGTCGAACTGTTGTATATGTTTTGTACCCCTATATTTACTATAGTTTCAGTAGGACCAACTTTGAATTTTTAGAAGAGTTACTGATTTACTTATTTTTATAGCGATCACACGGCAAATCTTGTGCCCAATAAATGTTGTTATTTGAACGGGTTTCTTTATAGAAACGTATTCATCAATAATTTTCTGATTTAAAGCTCTCTATAGTAATATATTTAACATTTTGACTTATTTGGTACTAATAATATTAGGAATATTTGAAATATTGGACAATTATTTTTTACAACGCTAACCAAAATTGTTTTTTTGCTTGCGAAATATTTATTCGGCACTATTGTTTTTTAAACGTTCCGTTTTCTTACAAATAACATTGCCTTTTGCGTCATACTTTAATAAAACTGTATCAATATAGTATAAATTAACATTTTTTAATAATGTATATCAAATCTCTTTATATTTTATGCTATACATAATGTTATCCAAATTGTTTAATTGAAAATGTTAAAAACAAAAATTAACAATAAAAACCTTTTGACTTATTTGGTACTAATAATGTTAGAAATATTGGACGATGGTTTTATACAACGCTAACCAAAATTGTTTTTTGTTTGCGAAATATTCATTCGGCGCTAGTGTTTTTTAGACACATGAACGTTGTGTTTTCTTACAAATAACATTGCCTTTTGCGCCATACATTAATAAAACTGTTTCAATATAGTATAAATTACGTTTGGTAAATAATGTATATTTTATCATTTTATATTTTATTCGACACATAATAGCTCCAAATTAAATAATTGTAAATATTTCATACAAAAAAAAATTACAAATAAAAATATTTAAATAAAAAAAGACTCTTATTCGTAATGAGTTTTTTTTAAGGTTGATCATAAAATAGATTTATCATATTATTTTACATCATTGATTTTTATACCACGCTCTTACACAGAAAAATATACATAGTTGGGAAGTCTATGGGACAATATAGAGGCAATATTAAAGTGACTAATGATTTGCATCGAAACGTTTTTCCGAAAGTGATTCTATCACTTTTAGATTTAAAAATTCCTGTAAACCTGTGACCTACCCGTTCTAACTATGCCAGTCCCCACTGTACTGCTTTTTTTGTTTGCAATAATCATTAACTTTTTTAATTTAATTGGAATGGTTGATTATTCATTTTTCTTTTTACCAAATAAACCAAATAAATATTCCTTATAATTTTCAACTGTATCCGACTAGTCTTCTCGGATTTATAGTCATTAAAAGTTCTAACTTAAAACTCGAATGGTTTTAGCTGTGAAGAAGTAAACTTTTTCAACTATTACCGTCCAAAGTACTAACTAGATGAAATATGTTATTTATAGAGTTGCTTTTCGAAGGAATTAGTCCAGTATTAAAAAATTTATAGCATCGAAGCTAAAAAATCCCTAGAGTTGATAACAGCAGTTTATGCATTGTGTTACAAACATTTAAGGCTTTTAAAATTTACATTGTTCAAAAACACAGTCCACCCCCCCCCCCTGTGCGCGATCCTTCGCTGGCTTTTTTATATTCTAGATGTGAATCATGAAAACAGTTTTTTGTATTTTTCATTATAGCTAAACGATTAGTTTAGAAGGTATTAACGTTTTTGAGGAAAATATTCAGTTGTTGTTTTCTTCGTTAATATTTTTGTTTTATGAAACTAGAATTATAGATGTTCAAAAAATTGTTTACGAGATTTAAAAAGATTAAGGACAAATTTAATTTATCTAATAATTGTTTGTTATCAAACAAATTGTATTTAGGTTTTCATAAACAATTTTTCTTTGATATAATATTTGTAACAATGAAGGCAAATTCAAACGTTATTTAAAACACAAATAATTTTTACAAAACAAAAATTTGAACTAGACGTTTACTTCTTACACTTCAAAATTGAGAAAAATTCCTAAAAATGTTAAATATTTTTCTACTTAAAAATACGACACTCTATAACTTTAAAAAAAAAGTTGAATTAACTCAAAATTTGTATAGAATTTTTTTACCATAGTACTAGGTACCGTTAAACGTTGACAGCCCAAGCAAATATTATAAAATATTTTCTCTAAAAGGGATGAAAACTTTTTCTTTAATACGCTTTTTTATGTGAAGTTTTAGGGCTTGAGACCTAAGGTAGATCTGCAAACAAAAAATTTTTTTTATATAAGATAGCGTATTTCCTAATGCTTAACTAATTATTTTTTACCACTCAAGTGTTTATATTAATCTTAAGATGCTTGTTTATAATGCCCATATTGTATTAAAGAACTATTTAATAACTACCCTTCGTAAATCGATAAGTTAATATTCAAAAACTGTGGGGTTCAAAGTTGATGCTATGCGCACGCCATCTGTTGGTCACCCTAATAATATCTGTTCGGCGGTATGGCGGCTCGCAGTATTTGATGCAAAATCCTTCTACATATTGTTTATATCACTCAAAATATTTCGAATGCATTTTTGAGACAATTGGTACCGAATAGACGGTGGTAAGCACTGAATAGATTAGAATTACATTTAGTGTACATTTATATTTTTTTTGCTGCCGTTTTGAGTTGTTTAATTTGGGATACCTATACATTCATACATTAATACTTAAAGTAAATATTGTTTTTTTTTCTGAAACAAACCATGTGAAAAAAAACGAATTAGACGTGTACTAAAGATAAGAAAGGAAAATTATGTGTCATGGGAACGGTTTAAAAAAAAAATGTTTTATCACTGTCACTGTTTACAGGTATGTTTTGATAAAACATTTGTTTAAGTCAATAGTGTCTATGATTCCGTTTTTTACCTTGCCATTATGGTAATTTTCATACATAAGCGATGTATTATTAACCTATTTAAAATGTTATTTACATAATGACAAGTCGGCTATTTGAAAATTCGGTTATAATGTTTTAGCCAATTTCAGTAATGGAATTGCATATTAAATGATTAAATGATCAAATAATTGCATATTTTGATATTTTGAGATGCATACTTAAATACATTCATGGTCATTAACATCCGAGCTCTATTAATGATGACTAACGGGTAAAGGAACTTTTGTTTTTTCGTGTACTAAGTTAGTGCTCCAATTTTCCGAGGAAAGGATCGGTCATTTTTAAGCTTTACGTAAATCCACAGCGGTTAGTGCATTGGCGTTTAAATATTTTCGAGAAATTAACTCACGGGTTACCGTGGCAATGGAAACGTTTGGCTCAGTGTAAAATGTATTTCATCATGTGCACGTTCAAGTGCCGAAAGGCGAATAGAAAAAAAAAATATGAACATTGTGTATGTTCGGAAAACGTCGATATTTGAAAAATTGCAAGTACTCGTTTCGGACTTTTGCAAAATGACCGTCACGTACACTCATCAGGTGGCCACGTGCCGCGGTATGGGCTGTTTTTGGAAATTGCTTTTTCGGTAACTCTATAATAATATTATCTCGCCGACAGAAACAATAGGTATTATATTATTGTCTGCGCTCAAAACCAAACTCGAACTGACCGCTATAAGACCGTGTGTATATATGTAATATTATGTTTGTAGCTGGAAAGGTAGCATTTACAAACTGCTATGGCCCAACCTGCTGCTGTTCGCGTTTTGTTATTTTACACTGAGCTTCGCCTACAGAAATCTAATGTCACAGTCCCAGAGGGAGTAAGTGTGTTTGTATCCTAATAATACCGGGAACTCGGAAACACAGCAGAACGTTCCCGTTCCATAGAAAACCTAATATATATAACTGTATAACCTGAGACGTATTTAGATTTTTGACGCTCTCGGTATAGTTTTAACGTCTCTTCCCCCAAAAAATAAAATAGCTATTACAGGCTATATTTAACTGTATAATTACAAGAAAATGGGAAGTTCCAGTTGTCTTCCCGAATTGCCGTTGCCCTCAGGTTGTATCCGTAAATGCTGGCGGTAATCAACTTGTATTATTCAAATAGCCTGTTCGAAAAAGTGTCATTGCAATGTCAATCGCACATGGACCTGATACCGGTATCCTTTGTGTTGGGATTTTACGTGGCCATTGTTATCGGCAGGTGGTGGAGCCAGTACCAAAGCATACCTTGGCCGGACTCGTTAGCCTTATACGTCAGCACGTTGATAACTGGCCAAGTAATTATCAACATCATTGCTATAGATTACTTGTACAGAGTAAAGTCATTCATTAACCATTAACATAGACCAACATTTACAATTAGTATTAAAGACATTTCCCTGATAACCATAGGAGTCTTATATTATTATTTCCCTATAAATTGACCAAACGGGATCCTCATATTATCATCGGATTGACTAGGATTCCCGTTTGCGTCTTTAAAATTAGAATCCCTGCGTTGTTCACAGTAGCCGAGTCCCTGTCCCTATAATACGGAAAGTCAAAATGGATATTTCATGAATTGTTCAAACGAGAGAAGCGACAGAAGAAGGTAACTTACTTAGCTCTTCCAAAGAAGTCCTGGATCTGACCCCCTACATGCTAATCATTGACCTCCATAGGGTATCCTTAAAAAAAACCTGTCCTTCCTTCAGGCTTTACAGGAGCCTATAGGGTATCACTAGGATTTCCGGATAACAGAAATTAGTAGCTTATAATCTGACTCATTGTCGGATCGACTTTTGCAGCAAACCTTACTTTTTGAAATGAACGCAATAGTGTAATATATCTGTGGCTTGGAGCAAGAAGGGCCAATGTCAATTTTGTGCATAAACGAGTTAGTCCGCTAATTGCAAAAATTGAATCATTCTTTATATACTGTGAAAAAATCACACTCTGAGGCCAAAAAATGAATTACTCATGAAGAGTTTGATGACAAAATTAACATAGAGCCTAATAGAAAATAAAAACTTTAAAGCTCATTTTCCGTAAGTTGCAAAAAGTGACATGATCCTTCTTGCTCCAAGCCACAAATATATATATATATATATATATATATATATATATATATTTGATTTTCGAACGTCCAGGATGACCGATCAAGACTAATCAGAAGGACCATATTGAGGTATGCGAATCTTAGTATATTAATGACGTTGACCATGATATGTCCAGCGGTTAAGAAACGTTTCCCAACAATGGGCCACATGATCGACTCTGGGTTCCTCTTGCCAGCCGAACAGACCGTATTCGAATCGATGAATGCCAAGACGAGTCACCCGAATTTTTGGATCCCCCTGGTTTGGGCGGCCACCATAGTGACACAAGCCAAACGAGAAGGGCGCATCGCAGACGAGTTTTCCACTAAAACGTTGGTGCACGAGATCAATAAAATTAGATCGGATTGCGGAAATTTACTAAGTTACGATTGGATCAGCATACCGTTAGTGTATACACAGGTAAATTATTAGCAATGTCTGCAACTTGATCACCAACGAGGGTGTCCTCGAGAACCTATTCAGGTGGGGTGAGAACAGACATAACAATTTGTACCTAATACAAATGAAGAATACACCTTGAAAAGTTAAAGTCTACATAATATGCATAGATCAAATTCTACAGAGTTTTTCCTTTTTGTTAATACATTTTTAATGCTAAAAATTCATATGAAAATCATATGAATGGCTGAAGATTTGCTGACAGTAATATATTCATTGTTTATTTTAGGTGACAACACTGGCGGTGTATGCTTATTTCATTGCTTCCCTAATGGGCAATCAGTATCTAGACCCAAGCAGGGGATACCCAACGCACGCCATCGACTTGTATTTCCCAGTGTTCACATTTTTACAGGTAAGCGAACGTTGGATTATAATTAGGGGTCTCGGTTTCGTACGTGAAATAATACATACGTGATCACGGTTCCGTGATCACGTGAATAAAAGTAATATAAAATCCGTATGTTTAATTCACGTAAATACGTTGTACAAAATTCACGTGATCACGTATATTAATATTATTCACGTGGTATCACGTGATATTCACGTAATATCACGTGAATCACGTGAATACAATTTTAAATTCACGGACAATTTCCAATCACGGGTCTTATAGCTCGTGATTAATTTCACGTGAATCCGTGAGCCGTGATTCACGTGAAGTAGGGAGCCCTAATTATAATAATATAGAAAAAGATTTCATTCTGATATTGTGGGTTTAGTTTTTTTTCTACATGGGTTGGTTGATGGTGGCAGAAACACTAGTAAATCCTTTTGGCGACGATGATGACGATTTCGACGTTAATTGGCTCATCGACAGAAATTTACAGGTAGTAAAAAAATATTATAAAGTATTTTATATAAGCTCAAGACATCTAATAGTAAAATATACAACAATGTTCAAACACAGATAAATATATAACTAAATACCAGAAAAATAAAATCCTTCAGTGGCATATTTTACCGCTATCATAATTATAACTTTGTTATATAGGTAAAACTTTGTATTATCTTGAAAAGAAAATAACTTGGTGAAATTAAAATTGTTCAAATATTTTTCTATTTTCCTGCCACGTAATGGTTGGCACTTAAGTGGATAATAATACTTGTTATTTGATGTAGAGGCTTTTGATTAAGTCAGAATCTAGCATGTTTATTATTTCTTTTTATATTGAGTCATTTTTTTAAAAAGGAATTTTTACCTACTTTCCGTCCTCACTATATCTTTTTTGCACACGATTTACATAAAAAATCAAGTTATGTTAGTTTTAATCAAGTTACTGACATTAAAAAAAAATGTTTTTGCCTATAACTTTCATAGTAATTCTGAGTGCCAACAAATTATTTAAAAGTGGAACACAGATAAATAAAAAGAAAAATTAACAACGAGTTCATTAATTTTTTTAATACAATCTACAAAAATATATTTAGTAAAAAAACGTTCTGTCTCCTTGAGACAGTGTTAATCTATGATACGAGCAAATAGAATTTTAATAAACATATATACAAATTTTTTTAAATGACTAGTAATTAAATATTTTATTGAAAAATATAATATCCGGTAAATATACACAGGTCCAAAATACCAAGTGAAGAATATCTAAAATTAAAGTATTCAGAAATCTCTATTTTTCCCCTCATAACAAATAATAAAGATAGAACAATCAAACAGAAGGTCGGAACCGCAGATTTTGGACATTGATATCCCTAACCCATCACGGTGCGTAGAGCCAAACGAGAAAATATGGTTGGAGTAGGCAATGTTGAATGTAGCACAAAGGAAACTTGAACAAACCCATAACTTGTAGAGTATGATAATAAGAAATGTTATGAATTTTATGGATGTTTTGGATCCGGATATTTTTATCTAGATTGCCTACAATGCCCGGAGAGGGAGTCCAAAATCAATATTTACTATTGATTTTCCTATCTTTAGGGACAACTATTTAATGTTAACTTTATTCGTTTTGCAATTGATTAGTACTCGATCAAATTTACTTAAAATATAAAATGTTGGTAATTACAAAAAAAGTGGGCCTGACCTCCGCTGCACGGAAGAGTACATAGGAACATGGATACGTCTTAATATACAAGTATAGGACCCTGGTACTTTTCTAATATTTAATATTCTATCTTTAACCTCTTATCACTAATCTCCCCCCCCCCCTCCTTACCTCCGCCGGCCACAATTGCGACATTCAGCATGATTTTGAGGACACATTTTTAGGATTTCCTCCAGTGATAAGACAATTGTCGTCTTACTTGGTATTTTCTGAATCACTGTTTTCGGATTTGTCTGCATTTTAGGTATCCTATGTAATTGTCGATGAGCTTCATCAGGAATATCCGAAAATGAAGAAGGATCAATACTGGAACGAAATATTTCCTGCAGAATTACCGTACACAGAAGCGACCAAACACTTGCAAACGCCTCCGTTTTTGGGTTCAGCTCAGCATATCGAAACCGGAGTACAGTATTTAGAGAGAAAGTTTATTGTGGCGACAGCTGGAACCGCAAGGGTAGGTGTTTTCAGCATAAGCTCTGTTGTGATAAACAATGTTTTTCTTTATCATAACACCTTAATATGCTACTTAATGTGCTACTTAGGTTTGTCTGGACAACAAATGTTGTTCTGTGCTTTCCTTGATTTTTTTTTGTATTAGATAAACGTTCGAAATATAGATTTGAAATCCGAAAGCTTTATCGAAAAAACTGATGATCTGAAAGGTATGTCGAAAAGACAAAATGAACGTCACGACGACTCTCAAAATTTATCAAGTACTTATAATTTGTAAAATTCAATTTTTTTTCCTACACTCTATAGTCAAAAATCACCTACCTAAGTCATACTTAAAATTGTTTATATGAGCAGAAGAATCATTATTGTCGTTGACCGAATACAATGTATCTGCGCCACCGCAGACTGTTGCCTCGGTCGCTCAGTGTGTTTCAAAATATACACCGTCATCGGTTGTAAGTTTTCTCTCTCAAAAAGTTCTAACTGAAAGCTTCTAAGATTTATGATTTTTTCTTTTTTTTAATTTTAGGTCGACGTTTGTGAAACTAAACAAGATTTTCCGAATGTCTAACAATGACGTTCAGTACCTAATAATTATTATCAATAGAAACCGTTGTGTTGTGCCTAATTATTGTTAAAATAATATTTCACTTTATAAAATACGTGTAAAATGTACAGAATTTATCATTTTTATGTAAGCGGATAAAATATAATACAAAACAAATTCCATTTTTTCTCATCAATACGAAACACTGTTCCAAAAATAGATTAAAAAATAATTTAAGACTAAGGTTGAAGTTCAAACTTAGTTCTAACAATTAAGAGAATTATATGAGAATTTTCCTATGACTTATCATTAACGATTTTCTAATTTATTACCTTCACGTGAACTATAGTAATTCTAAAAAAGTTAATTACTATATGAGTGAAAACCTACTGTTGTAATGCAACTGTTACTATTTTCGACAAAAAATATTTCTAAATAAAAAAAACATATACAAATTAAAAAGTAATTCATTATATAAATTACAGCTTGTTTTGTATTTTTTTATATTAGTACAACAACCTAAACTTATGGTACACAAATAAAACACGCGACCTTATGATCTGCTTTCTGATATAACTTTTGCGCCTAACGATGTTTTGTCTGTTCTTAATTTATTGAAAAATAATTTTTCAAATGGACCTAACAGTATATCTGTCCGTTGCTTGTATAACTGCCGGCACGCGATTGCATATCCCACAAACCTACTTTTTCGACGCTCTTTAACAGTAAGCGTTTTTGCTTCTGTTTGGAAAATTTGTTCTACAACACTTTGTCCATAAATCTGGTGAATCATCTAATGTTAAAAATTATAGGCCGATATCAATCATCCCCTATATTGCTAAACTCTTTGGATCTCTAGTTTATTCAAACATTAAAAGAAGCTTGAATCATATAATTGTTGATGAAAAACATGGTTTTAGACCAGGAAAATCAACTATTACTAGCAATATTGTATTCGCATCTTACCTGACTGATGTTTTAGAAAACAGAGGCCAGGTTGATGTGATTATAACTGATTTTAAAAAAGCCTTTGATACAGTGGATCATGGTCTCCTTACCAGAGAACTAAAGGCACTTGGCGTGGGTGACCCGCTACTTTCCTGGCTAACTTCGTACCTAACAGGCAGAAAACAATTTGTCAAGATACAAAATTCCGTATCTACCATGACTTATGCGTCATCCGGTGTCCCTTAGGGTGGTCCCTCTACTTTTCATTTTATTTATCAATTCTATTAACAAATGGATAAGTAAGCCTAAATTCTTACTTTTTGCCGATGACATAAAAATATATTTCAAAATTGATGACCAGGAAAGCTGTCTCACACTACAATCTGAACTTAACCTGGTTTTTTTCTTGGGTCGATCACCTTGGACTTGGGCTTAATATAGACAAATGTCATATTACGCCTTTCACCAAGCAGCGTAATCCCATTTCCTACTCTTATTCCCTTAATAATATTTTTCTCCAGCGAGTTTTCTTGTTTAAGGATCTTGGAATTTATTATACACCGTTTTCGAACTTTGATCACCATATCAATGCTACCGTCAGTAAAGCACTTAAAGTGATGGGTTTTATAAAACGCAATACATCGATGTTTAAGTCTGCAAACTGCCTTCGTACCCTTTATTTTGCTTTAGTTCGGTCTATTCTAGAATATGGTGCAACTATTTGACATCCATACCTAGCAAAAGACCTGATTAGATTAGAACGTGTTCAAAATAGATTCCTCTCTTATGACGCTTATTTATTAAAAATGAACCCCTACTTCACGACAATACACCCATTCGTTCTAAATTAAATATACCCTTACTCTCAACCCGTCGTTCAGACGGTTAGTAGTAGTATTATTGTATTTTATTTAATTTAACGGTTATCAAATACAGAATATTTTAATAATCGTAAAAATATAATTATTTAATTAGGTCTATATACTCTCTACCCGTGTTATTCTTCGTCGGAGAATTCGTTCGTTCGTTTTAAGTATAAAAATATTAGCAAGTGCCGCTTATCTAAGAAAAATTGTATTAGAGTAAAATCTTCGAGGCGGCCGCGTGAAATCAAACCATAGCCAGCAAAAAGGAATGATATCTCCAACAAAAACCTAACAGTAAAAAAGGGACAAGTTCCAGACCCCTTCCCAAAAAAGTCAGCCAATCAAAGTAGTGAGGTCTACATTGCGGCCAAGTCTGTCTTATGTCTCATTCAGAAAGGTCAAAATGTAGGTTTCCAGTTGATAATGTGTTAAGTTTTTTTTTATACTCGGAATTTTCGTTATATAAGATGTACTATAAAAAATAAAGTATACTTTAATAATACACCTTAAAGTGTGTAAAGAACACACAGTTATTTTTTTTTTGCGTTTTATTTACCTTAAACTTGTATTAATATGAAATAACGTACGAGTAAAAATAATACATATAAAGTTTAAAATTACTTAATAATTGTCTATGTATCCAGATTTTTCGTACTATTAAATACATTAGTACCTGCATAAAATACCTCAAAGTATTGTGTGTAAAAACACACAATTATTTTTAATTATTTTTAGTGCCTTATTTTGTTAGTTTTGTATCGATGCGAATAACAAACAAGTAATAGCCCACACAAAACACAATTTTATCAATTTGAAATTTACCACACAACAATGCGTTAAAAAATAATATGTAGGATTAATTTTTGTAACCTGATTTGTTATTATATAAATTCGGGCCAAACTAATACCAATGTGGTTAGCCAGGATATTTTTTTCACAACTTTCGCCATATATACAGGATGATTCTTTTATCATGAACCAGTCAATATCTCACTGGGTTTAATTAATAATTACATTTTTTTTTTCATACTGTTTTTATACAATGTGATCTCAACTTTTCACAATTTTGTTTGTTTGTAGCCCCCTCCCAACTTAGATTTTTTGATAGCAACTTTTGAAACTTAAATGGTAACGTATATATTTTATTACCTTTTTAAATAGAGAGTAATGTATTACAAATTTTGACTGAGAGATATTGACTGGTTTATGATAAAAAATCACCCTGTATATATGTACATAATATATTCTAAGCTATTTTTTTAGTCACTCAACGTTAGAACTCTGTTTGGATTATGTTACCTACAATACTAAATGTCTATATAGTAATTATTAAGACGAATTGGGATTTTTGTCTATTAGCAGTATAAACAATGAACCTGACACCCGCAGACATTTAATATAGGTAGAAAAATAATGGCAGGAATCGGAAGTAGAAATAAATAGTTGGTATAGACTAAAAAAATAAAATTTTAATTATTCGGTAATTATATTTTATTTTATCGATAGACAAGTCATAATACAGTACTAGACATATAATATTATGTATTTGATAACAAAATAAATTACAAGCAATATTTTATTAGAAATATCCACCGACAGTTTTAGTCCCGTTAAGTGATTATAAAAAAAAATATATTCGTATGGCGTTATTGACCGTGGCTATAGCTAACTTATGCAAGTTCGGTCGCCTGATCGCATGACATTTCTGTCATGCATACTGGGGTTTAATGGTATGGGTCTTTTCATTATAGTCCACATGTTACTTTTAATGTTGTAAAAGTTAAAAACCTAACAGTATTTTCAGCCCTTAAATAAAAAAAATAATAAACCAGCGCAGTAAGAAAGTATTAAAGTGAGGTGTAGTGTCTACAGATTAGCATCAAAGCGTTTACTTAAAAGTGATTTTATCCGAGTAAGCCAGTATAGTAGGGTCAGGGCATAGTGGAGACGGGGAGGTTGCAGGTCTGTAGGAATTATTATAACTGAACGTGATAAAATTACTTTCAAATAAACGCTTTAATCTGTGGACACAGCATCTCATTTTAATACTTCCTTAGTGTGCTTACTGGTTTATACTGTGTTTGGTTTGGGCTGTACTGATTTGAACTTACTATCCACAGATTCGTCCGAAGATTCACCTGGTTTGCAAACTGTGCACCGCTAAAGAAAATTTATCTCGGTTTATCATCTTCTTTGAAAAATAGTATTAACATGAAAATATCAATAAATTTACATGGATTCTAGATGAATTCATTTAACGCCATTGCTCCGTCTGACTTTATTTCTGCAGAAAGAGAAAACCGTATTGAGTTATCTTGCGAAGATAGTTTGAAAGCGAAATTTCGCCGCATGGAAATGATCGAATTTTGGATTTCAACGAAAGATGAATATTCCCATCTAAGTGATAAGGCTCAACGTATTTTCATTCCCCACCTGTTATTTGTATGAAGCTGGGTTTTCGGCAGTCGACGTTATAAAGAGCAAGTATCGAGCAAAAATCAATGTGGAAAAGAAATGAGAATGGCCGTGTCTAATTTTATTTCAAGATTTGAGAAAACGTGCAGGCTCATCCATCCCATTATTAAATTTAATAAACTAATTTAATTAGATTTATCAATAAATAATAATATATTATAAACAAAATTTTCTATAATGCAGTTGTTTGACTTTATATTTTACAATATATACATTTTATTTAATTTCCATTACAAGTGTGTCTGGTTTTTGTTTATTTTTATCTCCTCCTTTTGATTATTATTAATGGTTTGACTTAGGAATGGGCTTTGCGAGACAAAAAAGTATGGGAGTCTCTGCTCTAATGTAAACATTAGATACATGGGTGATTGTAAAACCCATAACTAAGAAACACGTAGTCTAAACACCGAGTCGAAATAATGTATCTACACCATAAATCATTTAAGAGAAAAAAAATGTACCAGTTGTGTAAATGAATGAATATTATAGTGACTCTGCAAAAACCAAAAAAAGAACATTATATTCTGATTATTCGGTTAAAATAAAAGCTGATGAAGACGACTTTTGTCTAAGAAATTCTACCAGCTTAACAATTTTAGTAAGTATTTCTATCAAACTCTAAAAAGTGTAATAACATTAAAACTAACAAGTCATTTTAGTAAGTAGTGGTTTTTTGACTAGGGGCGGAGTAAATGTTTTTTGTTGATTATATTTTATATAGGTACTTATACACCAACACACTACTTTTGTGAGGTATTTTGAAAAAGATTTCAGAGATTGTCTTATTTCAACACACCCTAGTGTACTATTTCAAATGATATTTCAATATTTTTTACAACGGTATTAACTTTATGTCTCAGGATTTTTTTTAACGGATTTGACATTCTCTTTAAAATGTTATTATCTTTTTTTTACTATAAAAACATGAATAGTTTTGCTTTAAATCCATTATGGGTTGATTAAGTAGCATTATGCGTAATCAAGTTTAAACGCTTGAAAATAATGTGTATAATGCCTCTTCCTGAAATCTAACTTTAATAACAATATTTAGTTAAATTGCGTTTTCTGTAACCTAACTTTTTTACAAAATGCAATTTTAATAGTTAACAGAGGCCAAATTTATATTTTCGTCTATCTTCATTGGGGTGAGCTAACTACAATTTTGGCCAAATAAAGTATCATCCAAGTTCGATTTCTACCTTGCTATACAAAAAATCAGTTAAGCGGTATAAGAAATACCGTAAAAAAAATGTACATAAATATATATATGTTCATATATTATATTTAGCATATAAAAAACAGCCTCGTTAAACCAAAACCTTCTAATATCTAAACTAGGAGCAACTGTGACTAATATAAATTGCTTATATGTTTCTTATAATTAGCAGATAAAATGAAGCTTTTCTGTTTTTTAATATCATACATCTTTGTAAATGTTTCGGCAGATTATCTAAGTAATTATTTTACTATTACCAACTTAAGGTTAAAAATTACAAATAAAAATTTAAAAAAAAAATATAATATTTTTTTTTTTTACAGCGGATTATAAGAAAGAGGTCTTATATGCAAGTCTGTAACATTTTTGTACTATAAAAAATAGTTTTTAAAATTCATTCATATATAATATTTTTTAAATTCTGTATTACAGATGCATCCATCGAGCGTGCTTATAATATGAATGATTTAACTGTAGGAGGTATTTCTGGAGCAAGTAAGATATATTTACTTATTAATATGCTAATATATAAATGTTTTGTTATGTGTACCTGATTGTCAAAAAATTTGTAAATTGAAAAGTACAGTTTTTATCAATAGTGAAAAGTGCACCAGGACGTAGAACCAGTGTACAGAACACTATAATATTTAAAGTAGCGTTTGCTAATAACCTCATCGAGTGAGTAGTGTTAAGTTAAATGGCTACTCGTTAAAGCATCGTTTACTATTGTTCTGAAGATTTATATGGTACCTAATTGTATATTATTTCAATCTTTTAGTACAACCCAAAACTCTTTTGTTTATTCTAGATGGACTGGAGCATGTAATTGAAATAATGGTTAATGAAAACCAATATTACAAGAATTTCGGTATAGTCGTAATTCAAATAATAATACAAAAAACGATAAAAGTAGAAAATGTATTCGAAAATAATATAAAAATTGCAACTCAAATTTATCATAAGGCAACTGATAAGTGATATAAATATTAAATTTTTCGCCGAAATCTAAATGGAATCTTTATAAAAAAATTACTGATGTAAACTCTGTCAACCTAGTATGATTATTATATTTCATTCTCTTCGCCGCAACTGCTTCAATGCAGCCATTTTATTTTCACTAAGATTCTAAAGTCTATATTTAATATAGTATTTTCTACTTTGACCTTCGTCTTCTAATTTATAATAAAATCCAATATCATTAATTTATGTAATGTCAATTTCAGCAAAAATCAATCTTATGATCGCTGTACCGGGTAATAGTTTTTGTTGAATTTTATGAACATATTTCCATTATTTCATTCATATTGATTTTCCCAAAGAGATTTTCATCGTATTGAAAAGTGGAGCACATTTATTAACATGTATTTTTCTACCTTGAGCTTCGTCTTCCTGTTTATAATGTAATAGAATATTAAATGCAGTATCATTAATTTATGTAATGTTAATTTTAGAACAAACGTGCATTGCCTATGATATACCGGGTAATAATTTTCATTGCGCATTATGGAAGTGTTTCTACATAGTTGTTTGATGTACTTTATGAACACAAGATTTTTGTTTTAATTTCAGATTTGCCATTTTGTGACAATTTGCGCAGTAACTACATTTTTATACTTCATGTTCAATATACTTAACGCATATTCGTAATTTAAAAATACTTGAGTACAATCATATTATGTACTTATTGACAACCACTAATATGACATTTTGGTTTCAATTATAGAAAATGTGTAATTACATTCAAATATATTTTGTTTTAAATTTTAGAATCGAGGGGTCACCAGAAAATGATGGAATGGCAAATTAGATATACATTAGGTGAATATAAAATTTAAAAAATTGATAATTATTTTCGCTGTTTGTAGTTATAAAGAAAAACTGTTAAAAATTCAATTTAAAGCTATTAAAGTCATAAAGCTATAAGTATATGTTTTAATCATTTGACATATGATAAAAACTGTTCATTTAAATGTCGCTATTAAAAAAAATGTATCATATAAACATTATAATTTTGCATTAATTAATTGGTCTAATTAATCTCAGTTTTAGAGTGACTGTAATATATAAAATATATTTTGGAAGACGGCATAAATTCAAATAAAAATCATATCCTTATTTTTTTTAAATTTTAGTTTATAGAAAATTTAAAGTTCTTAACTGTTTATTGTTTGCCTTTATACTGTTAATATTTAGTATTACATTAGATAAAATAATTAAATAGCGTGACTATTTAAAATAATTTTTAACATAATGAATGTACTTCAATCAGCATTGTTAAAATGTATCCCGCATTCAAATCTGCCTCATCTTCCCATACACAGATTTTATTAACTCCAAAACGATATTATGTATTTGTTACAGGTATGGACTATCCCGATATTGATCAAAACCAAAGTAAATACGAATTTTTCGATAGTAATTAATACCCTTGCTTGTTTAAGAGTTGAAAATTGCTTCATATTATTTATTTAAAAATGTTTTATGTCGAACAATAATTTTAATAAAATAAACTTTTTGTTGAGGAGAAGGAGAGTGAGAAGGAAATTGAGACTCAGTAACCATTTGGGGGGGGGGGTTGTTTGAAAGTTATATTTGTGAATAAATTTTTACCACTTTCCAAAACAAAAAAAAATTATAATTATATATTTATATTCACAATTAGCAACCTGGACATATAAAACGCCACGGGTGTAGTTTTTTCTTTTATTTTATAATGTCGGGTGCTCTAATTTAGGAGGGAGCCCAAAACCCTGAATATGTTCGCTTTTTGTCAACCTAAAGTTGACTACAATGTTAATGTGTAATACGATTTATTATTTCTTTCCAACACGGTTATTCAATAATTATTTTTGTAGATTTTGAAGCCTTAGATTTGAAAATCCTTGCAAACAATAGAAGAGAACATGTTGTTCCAGCTTTAAGAAATATAATCAGACGTGTATTAGGTAAATATTATATAATAAGGTATTAATTAGGAATAATTTACTACATTACAACAGAATAAAACTAATATTTATTTTAACAATTAACCAAATAAGTGATGGCTACTATGTACTAACATATACTTTCTTGTAATACCAACAGCATGACTGTACAATACAGACACTGTGCATTTACTAAGTTTTATGACTTTGTGTGTTGTGCACCATAAAAAAAAAATTAATAACTAGTAAGCTAATTTTAGGAAATTAAAAAAAAATTATTTTTATTTTTTAGATAAACCCGTGCAACATGTACAAGATGATGCCGCTATATTACAGATGTGTCGTTTGTTAGGACTATACAAGAGTGCACAATTTCCAAGATCATACATAAGTAGTCTTGAGATTAACACAGTTCGTGGTACTTGTATTCTTTGGGATATAAGTAATACACCAAAATGGTACAGAAAAAATAATGGCGTATGGGAGCAATTAAAGGTAGAAGGTACAGCACAGCCACTTGAGGAGCAGTTTAAAATAATTTAGACCAGGGATCAATGGCTTAACTCTTTTAACATTGTATAATTCCATTGTTATTTTAATGAAATAATATTTTCATATTGCACTAATATCCTATTATATATTGCACTTATAGATGTCATTTAATTTAATATATTTCATAATAAATTGTTTTACTCACGATTACAATCACAGTTGTTGCTTATTTGTAGATTTAAATAGATACTTAATGTACTTATGCTTTGGGTCATTCCGCACTGCATCGATCTATATTTGTCTGGGGCGTCAAAGTGGTCTTCTTTTTTTTCTTAGATTTCTTCGATCAATTATTGTTGTTGGGCCTTATCTTACTTTCTCTCCCGCTCAGATATAACCCATCCACTTAAATAAAAACAAACAGTAAAATAATATATTTAGACTTTCTTTACGATTAAACTCAACCATGACCTAACGGGCATATTCAATATGAATAAAATAAAATAAAATAAAATAAATGTTTATTGGCAATAAAGTACTTTGGAACTAAATAATAGTTGGGATAAAATTTTCATCAGAGAAAAAGTTGTTTGGTAAAAGTATATTTGTGATATAAATAGTAATTTTTGAATAATAATGTTTTTGGGACAAATGCTTCTCTGACCAAGAAATTTTGTGGAATGTGGAACAATAGGTAATGTCCAATAAATTGTATATATATATATATATATATATATATATAAATGCAATACTCTATTGATTATTACAATAATCTAAAGAAGTTCTAAATCAAAAGGAAATGTCTATTTAACTGTCTTAATTGATTTTGGGCATGTACTTTGATTTCCAGTAGAGATTCTGCACTGATCGAAATACAAATATAATATAATAGTCGTTATTAGTTTCGACGCAGAGCTGATAATGTAAAGGTTTTTATTTTTATTTGTGTAGTTTTACCTTCGACTAGGAGATATTTTTTTTTGTACCTTTAAGCCGATAAATTATTTTCTTTTAGAATGATTTATACGATTATCATGTTTCTTTGTTAATTACATTTATTTTGACATCTGAAGCTTATAAATTAACAAGTGTTGGTTTTTTTTTTAATCATAATTTATTTATTTTTTATTCCATCTCATTGTATCTAGAATGTTTTTTTAAGTCATATAAACTTAAGAGAACACACTGTGCATTCCTGCGAGTAATCATCGTGGAATAAAATACAAATCCAATAAGTTATTTTGATTAGGGAAAAATTTTTATAATTTATTTAGAATCGCCAATTGGAATTTCAGATTTTTGAGCAGGACTTGAAAACATTATTTCTAGTGTTAGGTTAGCTAGTGTCTCTTATAATATAAATAAAACAAAATATAATACGATGAGTTAAAAAAAAAAAAAAAACTCCTATAGAAGAAAAGTGATTTATCAGGGATCAGCAAATATAAGTTCAAAAGTACAACTATCTAAGTAGGTACATTGGTAAAGTCATGGCCTATGTACCTACGTATTTTTATCGGGTTTCTTTATTTTATGACGATATTTGAATCATCAGTTATCATCACTGCGATAGGCTTAAGTGATCACGACCGAAGGACGTCAAAAAAAAAAAAATTTCATCTTACTATATTATTTTAATATGTAATGTTATTAGCGTCAATGATAATAATTATTATTCGTGCCCCGAGTCTAAACGAAGTAAACGCGTTTGGTATACAGCAATTAAAACCGTTCGAACGTTATTATTACAAACCGATTGTTTTAATTACAACACTTTGCATCGTCCAATGTGATGTCTGATTCGGCAATCAGTATCTTATCTGGAGTAAACAAATAAATAAGTAACGAACCAGTCGTAATGACTGGGTTTTTTAATGACCCATTAAAGATTAAACTTAGTATGAACTAAAAAAAAAATTCCCGTTATAATCGAAATTGTAAGGAAGTCTAAAAAAAAAGTAAATCAGAATTCTAGTAATAAAAATACAGTTTGCGACGATTCAATTGTGAAAACTGTCTGTTGATAACCAAAAACGTAGTAAAGCAATGTTTTTATATTTTAGAAAATTTCGAAAAATCTAATTACACCAAACTTTTTGATAAATTTGTATAATGAATTTTTTTTATAAATGTGCACGAAACGAATCCAAATTTCAAAGCGGTTTGTAAGAAGACTTTCTCCTCCAAAAAATAATGATTCTCGCCATTCCTTTTACCAAAGTTCTTTTTGACAGTAAAAATGGCTATAACATATAGAAAAAATATTTTACGTTAAAAATTATACTGTTAGACTTTTATAAAATGGATCCGAATAAAGTTTATTATATCTCATCAAAATTGATTAAAACAAATTGTCTTTTTCTGTCAAATATTGCTCATATTTTGCCACTTAATAAAAAGACAAATCTAAAGCCAGATACTATTTTCTCTTTGAATTCAAATGTACTATTTGCAAAGGATTTCGATATGGGTAGGAAAAAATTTGTCAAAATGTATTAATTACATCAATTGTTTTTAAACGTACTATTTCTCATGTAAATGGTGTAGGAAGGAAAATGTATTGATACAAAACGTACTATTTCCAAAAAAAAAATATTCTTATATTTTGATTTACTTTTAAAATATATAAATTATATGATTTAAATATAATATGTAAAGCGGTCTTTATTTTTTATAATAACACAAATTATAAAAAAAAATATCGTTATCTTTCAAACACTATAAGTTATTCCCGTCTAAAGTTTATGATAGCCTGTTAGGTGTGATAAGATTTATTTATACTTTATTTATTATTACATAAAAGACTACCTAGTAATGTTATATTCATTTTTTTGTGTTTTGTTTTACTAAGCTCAAAGAAATAAAGAGAAATTTAATTAGTAGATACTAAATAATATATATTTGTAAGTTACCTGGTTTTCAAATTTTTTTCCACAATACATTTTAATAAAAAATGTGTTTTTACTAAAATTTAGTTGAAATATTTAAACTTATTTAGTTTAAAAAATATAATTTAAAACAAAAATACGTTTAAAAAAAATACAGTCAAAACGTACTATTTCCATTGGAGCAAAATGTACTATTGGTTGATATTAGTACGTTTTGATGCAATTCAATGTTTAAAAAATTATATTGAAGTATATGAAATATAAATTTCCAAACACAACAACACTTCGTTTAAAAATATTTTATCTATTTTTAACACTTTTCACGTCATCTATAACTCAAATATTCCTAGCACAGCAGAAAATGACCTGACCTGAAAAGCCGGTAAAACACTAATAGTATGTTTTGCATTGTCGCCCCACAATTTTGAGGTCGGTTCTGAATTTTTCAAAGAAAAAAAAACGCAAAAAAAAATTGTATTGTAAATACATTTAATTTATCTCAATTATTGTGAATAATTTACATAAACGTTATAGCTATTAATTATAAGAATCAGCATCAATAACGTCATTATTACTTACCTGCTACAGTTGAACTCATTGAAGATACTTTATTGGGTAGATACCAAGTAATAACAATAAACTAATAGTAATAGTCATGTTATGGTAGAAGGTATCGGTGGTATTATAGTACAATCACAGAATAACCAGAAGAGACACTCGTGAACAACACGGGCTCTTAATATGGGGGATAGATTTTTATTTGCTACACCCGTGGGAGAATCAAGGTAAGCAATATGAAAATAATTGCCATTTTTCTTAATCCACACAGTTCATTTTCTAACAGGAAAATGTGCAAAATCAGATTCGGCAGCAATGAATAGTATTTGTCATAAATGGTTAATTTCTGGCTACACTGATGCTCTCGACAATTATACCAAGCTGTTCTCATTGTGTGTCTCTTCTGGTTATTCTGCGGTACAATCACAGAATACCCAGAAGGGAAACTTAAAAACAATTACACGGGTTTTTACGAGGCGCCAAAAAAGGCCGTTTGCCTTGTTGTTTTCAAGGCAGATGGCCGGACTATAAAAGAAACATTATAGATAAATTCAGTTCTCCCATGTTTCTGATGACACTGACCTAGGAAACACACGATAATTGTACGTAATCCGCAATAACAAAATGTCGGACACTCATCAGTCGCGGCCTTGGTTTCCCTGCTGGTTATGCTGTGATAACGCTTGTTGTTGCAGTGATAAGATAATGCACTGTTGATCCGATTAAAATGTCAAATGTGCAAGTTCTCACTTCTCATTCCTCGTTCCGACGCACCAGCCAGCCGTAGTGGACCTTTGCGAATGCCACCGTTGGTCGATATTGACAGTTGACACTGAGAAGTTTATGTGACAGCTCGACCGATTGCCAGAGTTTAGCTGTTCTGTACGTGTTCAGACGACAGTTCGGTGCTAAAAGGTCTCCTCCTATTGGAAATACCTACATCGAACATGGCAAACAACGCCAGCAGCTCATCCAACAGTCTAGTGCCCGTGGTCGTGCCGGAATCTGTTAGCCAAGATGTTAACGGCAAGCCGTCGGCAGGCTTGGAAAACCCATCGAGTGTTCGCAACTTAAAGGATTTGTTGAAGATGACCACGCAGATGGTCAACGCCGAAACTGACAACTTTGGTTCTACCGATATGGAATCGATCGAAGAGGTAGGCGTATGATTGTTCATAAAATTACTAGAACGTAACAATGTAAAACGGGTGGGTCGGTTATTACTGTTTCTTTTGCCCAAACCCCGTTGAATGTAGATAAAATTATTTTATAACAATACATATTTTGTAGAACAATTAGTTTTAAGTTAGCATTGTTGTTTTGGGTTTGTGTTTTTGTGTTGCATGTTATAAATGTTATGTTTCCTCTACCGAGAAGACAAATAACATACTTTGCATAGAAGAACGTTGAGCTGAAATTTTTATCGACCGTCGTACCATAAACACATTGGAATGACAGATATGAGTCATGATCTATTTTCAACACTCAACAATCAGACACCCAATTTAGTTATTTATGGATCCATTATTATTGTTTTATTTGACAGATCATTAAAGAAGTGTTTCTCAAGCTTTATTTTTTTTTTAAAGGCTAAATGTTTTTAAGATGTTTAATTTTAGTACTTTGACGTTTGCAATGTTTGTATTTCATTATTTTATTTTAACATTGAATGTTTAAATTATAATAATTGTAGAACAAATTACATACAGAGCGATTCATTTAGCGCAAGCCACTACTTTTCTCAGAAAAAATGCAGTAGTGTTAGTTTTCTTTTAAGAAACATTGTAGTTGATGTTATTTTTCTAATTAGGTTTGATTTTCTAGTACTTATTTACATTCTGTTGTTACTAGTCGCAGCTTTGTTTACTTTTGAGATCTAATTGGTGACGTATCATATTTCTTCTAGAAATGTTGACTGAACGTTGACCAGTTTTTAACAAATACTTTACTATTCTCAAGGTTATTAGTGATTAACAGCTCATGACTACCGGCCACAATTCCCCCTTTTTTTCTAATTAATAATAACTAAAGTCTAAGTTTTGTATTATTATCTTGTGTTTCAGAAAAGAATATTTCTCAACAATGTACTATCAACAATATCTGTTAACGTGCAGGAAGAAATGAACAACTCGATAAACCTATTATTAGACACCAACAAGAGCGTAGAAGAACATGAGTACGCATTTGATGTTATTGAAGAGTATACCGACAATATTGACTATGCCAATGGTAATAATAATAAAAATACATTTGTTACTTAGCTATATATAAAAATATTTAATTGTTTTACACTACAAATAATTTTACTATAATGGTGTAATTAAATAATTGCTTAATTATCTGATTGATATATAGTTAGAATTTTAAGTGTTTTTTAAAAGGTTATACTAAGAAAATATGCCTAAGCTAAAAATGTTGACGGTAGCGTTTTACGTATTAGTAATTTTTAGAATTTAATTTCACATAAGTGTGAGTAAATAACTTTTGCTGTATAACATTTCAATAAGTGAATTTTTTACCCGTGATATTTATTTATAAATATTTTTTTAAATACTACAGCTAAAAAAATAATGACTTTAGCTCCGATTAAATACGGCACTATTAGTCTTACAATGATGTATTTAACGTTTTGTTAGGACCCACGATATCATTCAAACAGCTAGACCGATTTCTTTGTGTAGCTAGTCTATGAATCGGAAATTTAATCTGAAAGGTACATTATAGGGCTAACATTTTTAAGTACTTATTAATTTAAACTTGAAATTACACCTTGTTAAAACTTAAATAATAATTATAGTCTAGTTATTTCAAAATCTGTTTGTGATACTTCTTATTCTAAGTTAGAGATTGTTATTTTTTGTGAGGGGGGGGGGGATTTAAGGTAATTTATTTTTTCAAAAATCTATCCATCTATTAAAATCAACCGTCTATTTATTTACGAAAAACTAAAAAAGATTTTTACGACAGTAATTTTTAAAAAAAATTAATATTTGTACCTATTGGTGTTTATTTATTGTGAAAAAAATTGTTGTCAGGCTGATAAATTTAATGTAATTTAAAAAAAGAAAAAGTACATTTGTAATATATTACATTTAATAAAAAATAAAAATTGCCGTTTGTGTATTTTGAAATATTGTAACTTTTTTTTCCAAATCAGCCAGTCAATTATTATTAACCTAAAAAGTTATACTAATTATGATAAAAAAAACTGCAATAACCTTTTTTATTGAGAAAAAAAAAACCCAATAGGTAAATTGAATAACACGGTTAAAATAAGCGCATTTATTGAAAGTGTCGCACATTAAATTTCATTATATATTAATATCGTATGTTTACTGAATAATGTTTAATATATTCTGACAGTAATATTTATCGTATTTTTTAGATTTTCAAAAACTTGGGGGTTTTCAAGTATTCACTCCTGGATTAAAGTCACAACATTCGACCGTTCGATGCAAAACAGCTGAATTAATTGCAACCTTAGTGCAACACAATCCATATTGTCAAGACAAGTTTATGGAGGAACCTAGTTATATAAATTTATTGATGAGTTTAGTAAATACAGACCCCGTGGACGATGTGCGTGTTAAGGCTTTACACGCCTTATCTGGTGAGTCGGCTGATTTGTTTCAAGATAATTTTCACTTGTCCAATTACAATGATATAATACAAAATATCGATCATATTTTCAAGGTCTTGTCCGACACAATGTATCGGCCTTTTGGAAGTTCATTGATTTGGGTGGCAGCAATTTGATTTTAGAAGCCTTAAAATCGTCGTGTAATAAATTGAAAACGAAAGCTGCGTTTTTAGTGTATTCTACTTGCCATATGGGCAATGACGTTGCCGGTAATTTATGATAAAAACTTTATGACTCGATTGGAAATTGGTTTCTATAGACATTTTCTTCATTGCAGACATGTTTGTGGCGAAGGGGCTCGTTGAAATATTGTGTCAGATAATTGTCAATATGGAATCGCTGGACGACAATTACCATGAGTTATTTTTGTCGGCTCTAAATCAGCTGCTTCGCATGTCGCCAGTCAAAGTCAAAGACATATGTGTTAAAGTAGAAAATTTAAATCAAGCGTTATGCAAACTACGAGATTCATATCCAGACGATTCAACTCATCAGGTACACGGCCATGATTAGTTTTCGTTTAGATAATTTACTTTAAAAAGTCTATTATGATAATATGTACTTGAGCGACCGGGATATTTTTTACTGAATGCTATTGTCCTTTTGGTCTTGGCATTAAAATTATATTAAAACTTACATTTTTTATATAATATTTAAGAATATAATATGAAACATTTGCTTTTTTTTTTAAATTAAAAATGTACACTCCAATTTCCATAGTTAATAATTTCTCAAATTACTATAAAAATAAAAATCAAGAATTTTATATTTTTGAAGCTCGGTTAGGTTTGTTTACTTTAACATCCTGAAAGTCCACATCAATCAGACTTGTGGATATTTTTAAAGCTGACTTTCTTTCATTCTTTGCCGATATCTCGATAAATATTTTCTAATTCCGTGTAAACTTTTATTTCGAGCTTTAAAAAACACTGTTTTATGAACAAATTTAATTTAAAAACGAGACTAACCATATGCAATGTTATATTTTTTATTTTATAAATATACCCATATTTACTTGTTTTATCTGTCTAATTTCTATGAAATAATCATAGAAATTTTAACTTAAAATATTTTTTGGATAATTCATGTGTAAAAGTATAATTATTTTTTTTAGGGAACGGTTGTGTGTTAACTGTTAAATAATGTTTTATTTCTATCAAGTTTGACCTGTAAATCTGTTAATATCTGACTTTTTTCAGGATGAAAAAGATCAAATTCTATGGCTTTTGGAAACTCTTACTTTATAAATAATAATTATTTTTATATATATATATATATACAAATTTTCTTTTATCACATTTTTGTAATAAAATCTTTCATTAAAAAAAAACAAAAACTATTAACATATTTATTTAATTGTATTAGACTTTATTCGACTTATGTCCCTACATCATTCCTGTTGGCGTAATGTATTTTTTTAATTACAATGTGACTATTATTATTTTTAAGGACAATTTTATTTTTATAAACACATATTGTACTGGCAAAAAAATTTGATTAAATATTTTAATTTAAAAATTATGGGCTACTAAAAGCTGTTAATTTTATTCTTTATGTACATTTTTTTTTTTTGAAAATTTTCATAAGGCTTTTAGTAAAAATGCGATCAAAGAATATGTTATATTATAATTTTTTTACTAAAAATGTTAACAAATAAAATATCAATTCTGGTGCAGTAACTATTTATAAATTTGTGTTAACTATTTTAAATACGATACAATGTTTTATTTTGTAACAATTATTGCCGCTTAGTTATAGCTTAAAACCCCGCTATTAAAAATAATATGTGGTTACAAAACATTATATTTAAATTAAATCAAATAAAAATAAACAAATAAACTTGGCTCTGTTTATGTTTCATCCTATTTGATTTAGATAATATAAAAACAAAAGGCTTAATCTTATTTTTTTGTGTATTTTAATTTTTTAAGTTCTCCGATAGAGCGGGACTTGTATGTGATTTGCCGGTCAACGTCTGTTTCACAGACTACAGGAATTGGACCGGATAGCTTCAGTACAGAGTTCGACGACTTATCCACTGCGCTACACACGTTCACGAAAATAGAAACTAATATACTTATGTTATCCTACTCTATATAGTTTTTAATTAATTGTTTTTTTTTTATAATGCCTCCATGTAGTGCATATAATTAGTGTAAATTAAAAATGACAGTATTGTCATTTTTAAATTTTTACCATCCAAGATCTTAGTGTTTTACTGAAAAAAACCATATCATGCGATAGGTATAAGCCGTTGGTTAACCGCCAAAGATGTACCTATTAATTTATCACTATTGTAAATCTAGCTTAAACAATTTGGGAAAGATCTTAATCTTCTCCTAATCTTTTCTGAATTAAAAACTAAGTTAGAACTGGTCAACTTCAGTTTTTATGATAACTCATAACAACAAAACGTTCAACAACATTTAAACATTTCAATTAATTCAATTTTTAGTTTCCATATTGACTATCAAGATTCAAGTCCCCCATATAATCATTGGCCGAGATTAGGAATGAGCTTGGGATTCTAAAAACCTTAAAATTAAAATTAGTGCTACATTTATTTTTATTTCAACAAATTTCTCACTAAAAAATAAATGTAGGTATTTTGAAAAATACTAATTTTAAGTTTTAAGGTTTTTAGTGTCCCAAGTTCCCACTCTGATCTCTGCCAAGCTCAGAATAATTGACATAACTTTATTCTTCCTTAGTGCTAACACATAATTTCCGGGTTATTAGACGCCCTGAGGATTTTAGTCTTTAACTTATCGTTTACGCCTTACCGGATTTTTCATAAACAAATCAATCTATGAAATAAATAGATATATTATTTTGTGATTACTTTTGACATCTTGTTCAACGTTAAACGTTATAATTGTACAATTGCCTAGGTATGTTTTTTTATTTTAATTTTTTTTAATACAACTCCTTTTGAGATATCGTATCAAATGGAAAAAGGTATTCAATTTTTACTTGTGTACATTGGATCACTATTGTCGAAAAGGACCAGTTCATAAAAACAAATTTAACAGGATGCACACAAATCTACCTAGACCAGACTGGGAAGGAGCTAGGTAGTTTTAAAAATTAACGTAAGATTATCTCACTGCTTAACTTACTTATTATAAAAAAACATTTACAAAAATCCTCTCCATATTATCCAAAAATTAATTTGAGCTTGCAAAATTGGCAGCCCTGTTGAATTGGTACACATGACACAATTATTTAATAGTTGCATTTAAAATACAGACTGTAATAAAAACTAGATTTTAATTAAGTTTCACTATTAATTTTCAGTATAAAGTGTGTAGAACTTATGTACCTACATTTATTATGTATTATAACAACTTTTTTTATCTTACCTTTTATTACATTGATTAATTTTAGTGGCAAAATGGGACCGGTCCTGGACTTGTCCCTTTTCGGTGATCTCGTTTTGGCCAAAAAATGGACATTTCGTTGTTTTGCAATTAGTAATTCATATTATAGTGTTATAGTCGTCAAACGGAAGGGCTGTACAATATGCGGTGGGATAACAATATGCAATCTGGCAATGAGGTATGTATACAGAATATTACCAGGCTCTATAATAACATTATGCTACGATCTGTACAACGTCGCGTGTTCTTATTGGACTTGTATGGCACGATTAGTTTGCCGACAGGACTTCGTCTTGCTCTTCGGCGTCCGTATTTTCGACCATGTCAACTTTTTCGTTGGACACGTCTTCAAGTTGTTTTTCTGGCTTGGGCAATATCCGGTTTTGTCTCATGAATTTGCGCTGTTCGAACTCGCTGATGGACTTTTGCAACTTATCGTTGTACTCGGCCATTTGCTTAAGCATGTCGTCCGTGTCCTCGACCACTTGGACCAGATCCAACAGTTGCACGTCCATTAAACTCACTTCGGTGTCGTATCTGTTTTCCCACGTCTGCGCTTCCCTGTTCAACAGTTCGGTGTACTCGGCCAAGAAAGACCTCGCCTCGTCCGCGCCGTTTCTCTCGATTTCTTCCTTATCCCGCAACTCCTGCAGCTGTTCGAGCAGGCTGTTCTTTTCCTTCCACAACATCTCCTTGTTGTCGGCCATCCACTGGTCTTCCCACGTCTGTATGTACCCCTGTTCGGCCTCGATCAGAAACAAAGCCTTCTCCCATTTGTCGGCGGCTATCAACTCTTTCGTGGTGAGTTCTGCCGTCTCGTCCTGGTGTTATCGCCATGTATTACACATGTGTATTCAATTATAGCGTACAGTAAAACCTCCCAATAACTGCGTGGCCACATCCGTAACAAAAAAAACCGGAAATGTGTCATAGTCGAATAAAACAAATAAGTATTTTGTACAAATCAATAATCAAACAATGGTTCGGCTATTTAATTAAACGGGGTCTTTGAAAAAAAAAAAATAGCCACTGTGAGAACGGCGAGAATAATAGCTACTGGAAATATTGTCTAGACGATTGGAAAATTCACAGTATTTTGTAAAATATCCATCAAAAAACATGTCTTCTATTCAATTAAAACTCTCGGTACATAAACGGGCCAAAATTCAAATGTTTACAAAATGATCATTAGTAAATATCAAAGGGCAATTAAATTATTAAATGTTGCAAGAATTATTGTGTTTGGAGTCGTGTTTTAGCTCTTCTCAGTTTTTTAATTAATAAAAGTCACACCTTGAGTCACAAAACTACTCCCAAAAAAGTAAAATATAAAATAAGATTCCACTCTTCTTGGGGTTTTAGATATTTTTTTTCTTTCAACGTAAATCGATTATACTATGTTTTAAAAATCCACCGTACAAATTTAGAAGTAATTCCACTTTAATTAGGACTAGAATAATATCTTAGCTTAGCAATGTGTTTGATATTCGAGTATGATTTGCTTTCCACACTATCAAAATATAGTAACCAGAGTGGTAACCTTTTTGTGCCCGGTACATACCCGCTAACTAGTGAGACCCATTCAATTTTGCGCCAAAACTTATCGATTTGAAGTTATTCAATTATGATTAAAAACCAGAAATTTCACAAATAATTAAATTAAATCAGTGAAATTTTTTTTGCTGACTGGCCGACTTTTAATGTCCGTTGAATTATTGACAATTATTAGATTAATCGATTATTTTAAAATTATTTATCGAATGATTGATTATTGATCTGAACTATATGTTATGAAAAATTAACCAACACTATGTTTTTTAAAAAAAAAACGTAAATTTGATGAATTTTTCATGCAATTGGGCATAAGAACGTTGTACATTTAACTCAATATGAATTTATTTGTTTGTCCTATAATTATGTGATATTTTACCTACAATATCCCAAACTCTTAAATTCCAAAATTCGCTAATGTTATCAGGGTCACATATTATGATTAATACATTGTATTTTAATGCTAATTAATGAAATTATTATATCCGATAATTCTCGTTTGGTTTAGTTTGTATGGCGTGAAAATTATTTCCAAATTGTCAACTAAAATTCATATCAAATAGGGATTAGGTTGGTTCACTAATATCGATGTCGTACTTCTAACGTGCATTTACAGAGTTAAGCTAGCTGTATTTATTCATATCTCGTGTGTTTTTTTTGACGGATGGCATATGGTCACAGTGTTAGGTACGACCTGTGTTAGTTTAATCACAGACTATATGAAAACAGATAGCTTATTAGGCCGAAAATAAAAGAATTAAAAAAAAAAACTCCCTAATCGGTCTTGAGGAGATGAGTGTAGCCGCATGAATTTTTATAAAATATTGTGCAGATATTTTACAATAATATTATTGTACTAACTCTTTATTAATCAAAACATTTAAACGATAACCGATTATAATATTATAACGAAATTTGATGCCTAAACTATGGTCACACTGATTTGACTTTCAGTTCTGTTTACATGTCGAGTGAGCTAACTTACTGTTTTCATATAGTCTGAAGTATATCAGCTAAAAGCTACCGCTATGTAAAATATAGTGGCCATTCATAGTACAGAGGTTTAACTGTACCCGTTCAACAAATTTCGGACTTACTTCGAATATTTGCTGCTGTTCGGCTTTTCGTTTCAACAGTTTTGCTAATTTTTGTTTATTGTACGCCCATTCGGATTCCAGCGCCTTCTCGTCCTGAAGCGAACGCAGCATCGAATAGTTGATCCTGTGCAAACAGGTGAACGTCCTAGACGTCTTCAACTCTTGCGAGAGTCGCCTGAGTATTTTCAACAAGAGCAACCGTTCTTTTTGCAATTTTTCCGGCCCTATTCTGTCCAGCACCCGGTCGTTTCTCTTACAAGTGTCGGTCAAATAAAACGGGTCCTTGTGCAGATCCCGCTGCATTCTCACCGCGAACGGGGTGTACTCGGGGTCCGTGGTCACGTTGTAGATCTTGTCTATGGAGTCCAAGACGTCCAGCTGATCCAGGCCTTTGTCCAGAACGGAAGCCACGCCCAGCGCTTCGACCGCGGTCAGACGGACGTAGTTGTAGTCGAATTCCTCGACAGCCGACGAGTGCGCC